GACTTCATATTATCCTTGAGGATCGCCCACATCTGATTGCCATCGGGGCCCCATTTGGGATCACACGAGAGCTCGTCACTCTCGCCCCTGAGCCTGTCGTCCAGCCACAGGCACCTCGGGGTGTTTCTGCCCCTCACTCGGAGGCGGTGGGCGGAGCGGGCGCCGATACTCTTCTCTGTGTGCGTCTTGGTCAGCTGGGTCATGCCCCAGAGGTGGGAGATCCCGCCGTTGTAGAGTAGGAGGCTCTCTTGCAGAGCCCGCTCGCTGGGGGCGAAGACGCCAGCTGCGACGCCGGCTTCCATGGCGACGCCAACGGCGTGGCCGATGCGGGTATTGCGGCAGCCTGGCATGTTGTCGGGAAGGCAATTACAGGTAGACATTGGGTCGTTGGTGTCGTCAATGTATCTCTTGATGGCCAGGGCTGTGAGGCGGATGTAGTTGCGGCGTTCGATCTTGATTGCGTCTGATCACTACTGTCAGTCTCAATTGTTCAGGGGCTAGAGGCTTGACCCTTCGGGGTAAGTGTGCTCACCGATGAGGCAGTCGGGGAGGGTGATGCCGTAGTAGCTGGCATCATGGCCCATGAAGTCAAGGAGCTTGCCATTTTCGATGTAGGCATCTTCGAGAATCTTGCTCAGGGTCGTGGAGAAGAGCTCCTTGTTGCCCAGCTCCAGGTAGACCCAGAGAGACTCGAATGTCCCAGAGAGTAGTGTGATCCTGGAGAGCCAGGCGTTGCCTTGGGACCCGACGATCTTGCACATCTCATATTCTTTGAGGAAGCGCACGAAACGGACAAACTTGTCAGCGCTGAGGTACTCGGTGATGCTGTTGTCGTCGTTGAGTAAGGCGACGGCAAGGTCCATCATCCATTGTTCATTCTCGGGAATGTCAATGGTCATCGTGACCATGCCGTCTCGAGAACGACGCTTGGATCTAAGCATGGTGTAGAGGATCGGAGATGCTGCAAGAGCGGCATTGGCCCTGACCTTGTACTTCATGATCAGGGTGCCGGGGCTGTCGGCATTCTTACTGCCGTTATCGATCTCGGCCATGGTGTCAATGGTTTGGGATTGTTTGTGTGGATGAAAGATAAGGGGATGTTTTGGGCGAGAGGTAGGGAATGATCTGGTCAAGAAGAAGAAGGTTTCCTTCCGTGGAAGATTAGAGAGCAAGGCAAAGGTAACGGCAAGCGCTTTCGTGGAAACAGCACGAATCTGGTGGCAAACGCGGACTCACGTGATCTTGTGAATCAGATGAAATGTTGTTCTTTGAGGGCAAGAACGTGATAGATAGGTTGGTGACGAGTGCACGGCGGTTGCATGTACGCAGGCAGGGGCACGTGATCCATGTGTTTGTATTCAAGGGGCCAAAGGCTTCCGTTTCGCACTGCTTTCTCAATACTGAGCTGCCAAGATCATATGTCATCACGGGGAATCTTTAGACCAAAGCAGCACGATTATAAACGTTTTTAGGCATGGTGTTTAGATCGACCGCAGGTAAACACATCATCATGCTGCACATCTTTGTTGCAAAATGATCACTTCAAGTTCGTCATCTTCTTTCATGTGACTTTTTGTTTGCTTTGTCAATTGTTTCTGCCAAATTCATGCTTGTTGCTCAACGCCGACCCCTCAAAGAGGGTGACTGAGCAGGTGGTGTGGCAGATAGGCTCTTCCAGTGGCTCATGTAGAAATACTGACAGCGCGAGCATTGAAAATCTAGGAGCTCATTTCAAATTTGGCGGTCTAATTCTCTTATATCGCAAGTGTCAACCCTCCCTGATTCCTGCTTCATTCGTCGTCATGATGCATAGGGTGCTTCTGCCACTGGTTGAACAGGTGGCCTTCATCCTATGCAACTCTGAAGGTCAACCATTGTCAAGAGACAGATAAACACTGGATAGTCTTCTGTTTGCTTCAATGGCCCGAATCCAATTGCCCCTTCGTGAAGGGACAAAATGGGAGGATGTCAATATTGCGTGTGAGCTCCTCTGCCAAGACTTGGACCTCTGGATTAGGAAAACACCATTAAGAAAGAAGTAGAACGTGAAGCCACTGTAGCTCGCTTATTGAAACCAAACCGGCAAACAATTGCCGCTGCCTGGGGCTGACAGGGTGTCCTCCCAAGGATCTAGCTGCATTGTCAGCGTCGATCGGGCAGCGATTGGGGGCCTCTCGGTCACAGGGGCAAGATGCCCCTCTTGTGGCGGCGCTTAAGTACTCAGCTTGGCTCGGTCGTCAACCTGACCAGGTCAGGTCAGGTCATCCAACTTCCACACACCTCGCGCGCGAACAATGTCGTCCTGGGAGGTACCGCCGCCGCTTCCGCAAAGGCCGCCCCGGCCGGACGGACAACATCAGTATCACCACCGGCCCGGGCCGCAACCTTACTACCATCAACCTCCGATCCAGCTTGTTGACTCGGACGAAAAGCCGCCCCCGCTGCCGTCGCGCCCGCGCCCGCGGTCGCGGGTCGATCTCGAGAGCATCTCGGGCTCGATCAGAGACTCGTGGCGGCAGTTGAGGACCGGCCTGGATTATGTAGACACCAGCGGTGGGCTGAAGCCTCCGGCGTTGCCTCCTCGGCCCGTGTCGGCTTCGGCTGTCCCGGACCGGCAGCAGAGGCCCATCTCGCCGAGCACGTTCTACAGCACGACGCATAGCGATACTCACATTCGGACGGCTTCGTCGACATCCTCCCGGCATGGCCAGGGACGGCCTTCCTTCGCTAGCGAGGCCGGACGACGCGACGACGAGGTCAACCGCATGCTGAGCGAGCTGAGTGTATCGCCCGGCCACCAAACCCAACCACCGGACATGCACCCTCCGGCGACTACCCATCAACCAGGCTTGCACCCTCCGGCGACTGCCCATCATCCAGGCGTGCACCACTCGGCGACTGCTCATCAACCAGACGCGTACTACTTGGCGACTGCCCAATCCCCAGACGTGCACCACTCGGCGACGGCTCATCAACCAGGTGTTCAGGACACGGCGGCTGTCCGTCAAGCAGACGTGTACCACAACGCGACTGCCCATCAACCAGGTGTTCAGGACACGGCGGCTGTCCGTCAAGCAGACATGCACCACAACGCGACTCCCCCACGCCCTACTGCCGTCTCGGACGAGGTCTCCCCGGCCAGGTCGCAACAGTCCGTGACCACTCCGCCGGCCAAGGCGCCCATCACGGCAGAAACGGCCTGCATCAACATCCCCTTATCCGCCCCCGCGACGTGGTACTCGCACCGGGACGCCCCAGACATCTACATCTGTACGCGGTGCTACGACGGGCACCTGCGCGACACCCAGTTCAGGCACGAGTTCAACAGCACATACCTCGACGACCACCAGCCCCGGGCCTGCCGCTTCAGCACTCCCAGGATCCAGAAGCATCTGCTGGCAACGGCGGCGCAGACCGGCTCCCTCGGCGAGCTCATCGCCCACATGAAGTCGCGCGCTGTCATCCCGAACTGCAAGGGTATCGGCGGCGCCAGCGCAGCCGAGGGCATCAAGTGGTTCATCGCCAAGGACAATGCCATCCCAGGAATGGTCATCTGCGAGGCCTGCTGGGAGGACTTTGTCGTCGTTTCGCCGTTCGCGTCGCGCTTCCAGCGGCCGGACTACCAGCAGGACGAGAAGGTCGTCTGGGCCTGCGACATGGCCGTGCCGTTCATCAGGAAAGAGCTCGATCGGCGGGCCGAGGTCAGCGACTGGACGGGCTTCGCAGCTGAGGCGGGGGGCCGTCTGAGTATCCCACCGTGCGGCAAGGCAGAGAGGGTGCCGCGAAGAAGCCGGAAGTGGTTGTGTCCGAAGGACATGCCGGCCGTCGTCGCGTGCCCTGCTTGTTTCTGCGACCATGTCGTTGGATCGGGGGAAGAGGATCGGTGGCGCGAGTGGGAGGAGGTCCCGGGGCTGGAGTTCGCCGATAACTTCATCTGCGCCCTGGGTCAGTTCACCATTGGTCTCGCCATGTCGTTCGCTGAGGACAGGAACGACTATTCGCTGTTCTGGAGGGCGCTGGTCAAGGCGGCCGAGGGTCCCGAGTGCAATCCGGAGGGCACCAAGGGCGCGACGTGGTACACGCTTCGCGACTCGGACCCGCGCGACTTTTTCGTCTGCGGGCTCTGTCACGCCGCCATTGTCGAGCCCATGGGCATGGGAGGCTTCTTCACGGCCAAGCCTGGCGTGCCACCCGACGCGGCACCGCGGTGCTGTCTCAATCCGCGCTTCCCTCGCTTCATGAGCTATCTCCAGAAGCTTCTCGACGGCTACTTTGCCCAGAGCACTGCGGCGCTCTCGGCCTTCGCAAGCGACTACGCCAGTCTCCCGCTGTGCCGTCGCGACACGCTCCTCCAGGACGCGGCGTGGTACGGCTGGCCCGAGTGCACCATCTGCCCCGAATGCCACCACGAGTTCATCCGGGGCACGGCTCTTGCGGACGCCATGCCATACCAGGGCGGGCGATGGGAGACGAGCACCATGTGCAAGATGTACAGCCCGCGCATGCGGGCGCTCTACCTCGAGGCGTGCAGGGCGAACCCGCCCGACGCGACGGAGATGCTGGCGTACAGCGAGCACCGCACGGGGGTGTATGTGCGGACCGTGATGGTGGTGAAGCAGATCTTGCAGCAGCAGCGCATGGCGATTTATCAGCAGCAGAGGCTCAACGGGCAGAGTCTCTTCTACACGAGCTTGGGGAATACTCAGGCGAATCTGCTGGGCAGCGACGGGAGGACGTACGGGGCGGCGGGGGTGGGATATGGGTTTCAGAACGAGTTCCAGTTGGATGGCGCCAGGTATGGGAAGCAGGCGATGGAGGTTGGGGCGAGTGTGAGGTCGGGGTCGGCGGCGATACAGATTGAGGAGTTGGAGCGACAGTGGAAGATGGTTGAGTGAAGGAGTTTGGAGGGAATCGGAAGTTAAGACATATTTGTTCAAGCTTGGTAGTGAGTAGGGTGTATAGTGCCCAATTTTCCGCTATTTTTCAACGATTGGAACAACGGTTGAGTAGTGTAATGGTTATCACCGTGGATTCTGATTCCACTGATCTGGGTTCGATTCCCAGCTCGACCTTTTGTTTTGCTCCCCAGTCAGAGAATCCCATTCATTTTATCCAATGCTAATTGCTTTCGATTGGATGTCTTTCTGGCCCTTCCAGCCAATTAATTCACCCATTGCCTTTTTACTCGACAGGTTGGCTGCCTGGATCATCCCGACGACCAAAAGATGGGCCGCCAATGAGAAACGTCGTCCCGCCACTTCCGTCTCACACGGCCTCGTCAGCTTCACCTCGACATCCTCCCAATCCATTCCAGCAGCCTCTTTGGTAGCGGGACGTGAGACATAGCATTCCGATGGATTGAACTCTTTCATGCCTTCTTCGAGACTCCTTCCCTTTCATTCAGCATGCCCAACACGGGCAAGCCGAGTCGCGACTGTCACCTGTGCCGACAGCGACGAGTCAAGGTCAGCATCGCACCGCGCCTCTTTGAAAACCAGAGCTGACTCCTCCCAGTGCGACCTTGCTCGGCCGTCATGCCAGCGATGCATCAAGTACGGCAAGCCGTGTCCCGGGTACAGGGACGAACAGGACCTCGTCTTTCGCCATGCTGCCCCTGCTGCCCTGAAGAAGAGCAGGGGAGCGCGACAGGCCGCAAGGTCTAGGGAAACGACAGTTGCATCATCTGCCGCTTCAACGCCGGAATCTACTTCTCCCGCGTCTGTGACGCAAGCTATAGACCTCCATTCGAACCCCGCCACAGCTGCAGTCCTGCGAGGCATCAAGGAGCCATGGGTCGCCCACTCCATCCCCCTCCTACTCATGTGCTATCCTATCGAATTCCTCGCCGGCATCTTCAAGGACACTTCGGGTAAGAACGACGCCCTTGTCAGCGCGACTCATTTATGGGCGAGAACCTATCTGGCGAGCAGGTTTCACGCGCCCCAGGATCCGAGGGAAACCGAGCAGTGTTTAAGCACGGCGCTGAGCAACGTCGCCACATCCATTCGTGACCCCAGTCGCGCCACTTCAGACACCACCATCATGGCTGTGTGGCTGCTGGGCATGTACGAGGTATGTCTGACTACCCGCAGACGAATGCACATTGCTAAACTCGAACAGCTGCAAATTGGTGGCGTAGACGGCGGCCAGAACGCCATGACAGCTTGGAATGTCCACTCCAATGGACTGAGCAGCCTTCTCTTGACCAGGGGAACACAGCAGTTCTTCACCGCTCATGGTCGGAATATCTTCTGGTCCGTCTTCACCATTATCGTGAGTTTGATATCCTGCCTGGCAAAAGGTGCCATCCTGACGAACCTAGCAAATCAACTGCATCATCACCTCAGCCCAGTGCCCGCCCGAGTCAGACATGTGGCTCGACACCATTGAGGCCATCGGTGATGAGGACGAGATGCTCATCATATGCATCTCCAGATACATTGTGCAAGCATGTCGCATCTTCCCCGTCATCACGCCCATGCTCGTCGAGGGGCGGTACGAGGAGGCCTGCAATAGGTGGGAGCAGATCGCGCAGGAGGTCGACGACCTCGAGGACCTCGTGGCCCGTTGGATGGCGACAGGCACAACCGCCCAGCGCGACTCGGGCCCTATTACCGATTACTTCCTGAACTCGTGGCGGTGCGCGCGGATCAAGCTGCACCATATCACCATCCTGCTCTCGAACATTGTCCAATACGGCCCGGCGCCGTCGCCTGTCGACGACACAATACTGCAGCGGCGTCGACAGCTCGCCCGTGTGATTATCGCATCGGCAGCCCAGGACATACTCGACAGCGTGCCTGTGTCGCTCGGGGGCAGGGCGAAAGAGCTCACGTCCGACCTGCATGCGGCTTGGTTTGAGGGTATACGGCTCATCTGGCCGCTGGCGACGCTCTACACTGTTCGCACCATCCCGCCAGACCTGCGAATCGTGGCCAAGGCGGCTCTGATCACCGTCGGCACCGAGAGGGGCATCCTTCAGGCGCTCAAGAGTCATCCTGGGCCGATGCCCTACGTGCCGGAGGCACTGATCGGCATTCCTATGGACGAAATACCAAGCAGGAGTCCTTCTCAGGGATAATAACAGCGGTCTTCACGACAACAAATTTTGCGACAAATGAATTTCTATTGGAGTCTCTAGACTTCCCACTAGCCTACTTCCTACGCACCCGGCCAGAACTTGCCGACGAGGGCCAGGTTCTGGATGGTGGCCAGGCCGAACTGGGCAAACTCGTTGGTGCTCAGCCAGGTGGCCTCCTCGCCAGGCTTCAGGACGATGCTACCGTTAAGAGGAGCGGCAGCCCAGGGCAGGGTCTGGCGCAGGCCGTCGTTGAGGTACTCAGTCCAAGCACGAGCAGCCAGGGTGGCATTGTCGTACTTGAGGGCGGCGTAGGCGGTCAGGCGCGAGTGCGACTGGACCTGGTTGGGGCGGCCAAAGTCCGTGCCGTAGCGGGCGGCCTGCTCGGGGCGAGGGGCGTTGTAGAAGTAGCAGTAGTCGAGCCAGGCGTCCTCAAAGCCGGCGGGGAGGTCGGCGCCCCAGTGGTCGGTGAGCTCGAGGATGACCTCGATCATGCCGAACATGGCGGACAGGTGGGAGATGGCGACGTTGCCCTTGTTCTGGGGGTCGGCGACGGGGGGCTTGAGGGTGCCGTCGGCGGGGTTGTAGAGGGCGGAGCCGGAGACGAAGCCGTTGGTCAGGTTGGCGATGCCCTCGACGACGTTTGTGAGTTTGGCGAGGGACTCCTCCCAGCGGGGGCCGCGGCGCTCCCACTCGAGGAGCCAGGAGGCGGAGAGGGCGGAGAACTCGGTGCCGAGGCCGATGGAGACCTCGTCGGGCTTGGGCTCGAAGCCGTCGCCGCGGACCTTGCGGTTGGGGTCGAGGTGCTCGAACGTCTTGTCGACGTCGAGGGTCTCGCGGATGATGTCGCCGGTGCGCTCGTCGCCGCCGGAAAGGTAGTAGAAGTCTGTGGACGTTAGGCTTTTGCTGATGAGAAATACTAGGGGTTCCAGGGACACTTACACTTGCGGTACTGGGCGTTGGAGATGCGGACCTGCTTGGCGCTGTCGCTGTAGTGCTGGACGCCGTGACGGGTACCGAGGGCGCGCAGCTTGCCCAGGTGGTACATGTCGACCTCGCCGGTGTGGCGGGTCATGGCCTCGGAGAAGCGGTAGACGTCCTCGCGGCCTGTGCGGAGGAACTGCAGCCAGATGAAGAGGTCGGGCGAGAGCTCCGAGTTGTCCCAGGCGTAGCCGCCGATGTCGTAGCGCCACTCGTGACGGTCGACGTCGTAGGTGTGCATGACGTCGCCGTAGTCGAGGAAGCCGTACCAACGGCGCTGCTCGACCTGGCCGCGGTAGAAGTCGATGAGCCAGTCCAGCTTGGCGTCGAGCTGGGGCACGTCGCCGGGGAGGGACCAGTAGGTTCCGATCGCGCCGGTCTCCTTGAAGTAGGCGGGCTCGGCGGCGAGGACGGGAGGGTCGTTGATGTAGGTGGTCAGGTCGGCGAGCTCGTCGCTCGAGGGGGTGGCCTCGAAGCCGGCGATGAAGATCTCGTTGGTGCGGCCGATGCCGTAGGGGGTGTCGAGACCGCCCTCCCAGTCCTCGTAGGTGACCTCGAGGGCATCCAGCTGCTGGGCGTACGTCTCCTGGCCGAGGCCGTCGTGGTAGGGGCGGAGGTCGAGGGGCTCGGCGGCAGGGCTGTAGATCCAGAGAGTGATCTCGCCGCTGTCGGCGGCGGCGTTGCGGATGTCAAGACCAGTGGGGTAGCGCTTCCAGAAGTCGCGCAGACCGACAGCCAGACCACCCTGGGTGGCACCGCCGAGGTAGGCGAGGCCGCCGGCGCGGGTGGCACCGGGGATGTTGACCCACCCCTGGCCGGCCTTGGTGCGCTTGCGGAGGGTGAAGCCATCGGGGGAGAGCTGGTGGAGGCTGAAGTCGTTCCACTCGGGGATCCAGTGCATACGGGAGGAGACGCGGACATCCCAGGTGCTGATGTCCGGGGTCTCACGGCCCTCGAACTGAGCCTGGCGGACAGCGAGGCCAGGGTCGCGGCGGAGACCGGTGATGCCCTGGACGGCCTCGCTCAGGAGACCGCCGTCGACACCGGCGATGCGGACGTGGCGGTTGTAAGCGGCCTCCTCGGCGAGGGGCACCTGGAAACGCAGGCCGACGCCGGTGATGAAGTCCTTCTTGGCGTCGCCGTCGTAGACGATGGTGTGGACGAGGCGGATGGCCTCCGAGTCGGCGTGGAGGTAGAAGCGGACGACGAAGGGGAGCCAGGCGTCATGGCCCGAGGCGTCACCCTCGAGCTGGTGCTTGCCGTGGACGGTGACGAGGGCGCGGACGGTGGCGTCGTCGCTGACGGTGACGTTGTCGATGCGGCTCTCGAAGTTGAGGTACTCGATGGGGGAGCGACCGCGGTCTTCGACGTCGGCCTCGACGCCGGTCTGGGAGGTGAGGACGAGCTTTCCGTCGCGGCCGACGGTCTTTCCTCCGGCGGTGACGAGCTCCTTGAGGAGGACGCTGCCCTCCTTGGGGAAGGTGGCGGTGATCTTTCCCGTGTTGACGACGACGGACTCGGCCGAGTCGGTGACGTCGATGCCGCCCTCGCCGGCGGCGCGCTTGACGACGCGACGGACGCAGGTCGAGTTGCCGGGCTGGGGGGCGCGGGAACCCGAGGCAGTGACGGTGTACTTGTTCTTGGGAGAGTCGGAGCCGGGGACGGCGTGGGCGGACCACTTGATGGAGCCGTCGGGCCAGTAGGCCGTCACCCAGGACTGGAGGGGGGCGCCATCGTCGAGGGTGAAGTCTGTGGCGTTGGCGAGGTGGGCGCCGCGAGCCCAGGGGAGACCAAAGGTGGTGCCGTAGCTGAGGTTGGGTGTCTCGCCGAGCCAGTGGACTTCAGTCGACGTGGTGCTCGTGTTGGCCGCGCAGCTGGCGGCCGAGGCGAGGCCCAGGAGGGAGGCGACGAGGGAGGCAGCCCGAGTCATGCTGGCAGTTGCGCTATAAGCGGTGAGGAGGGAGGAGGAAGACGAGGAAGGTGGTGGTGCTCGGGGACATTATATCCTCCTCG